GGTAACCCTAGAGAGGGCGCTGCAGCAGACGATGTAGCGGGGTTCACCATCGCTATGGGTGCAGTCACCACTAGTGCAGAGGGATGGGGCCGGGACCTCTGCCTCCTCTGAGCCCCACGTGGCGGGTGTGCAGGGAGTGCATTCTGTGCAGGGCCGTACCTGCACTCTCCCAGCCAAAGCCGAGGGCCTGGTCTCTGGGCAGGCCCAGACAAGGCCCAAAGGAACAGTCACTGGGATGGGGGCTGCACATCCACATATACGTGCATCCAGCAACCCCCGTGCCCATGTAAGAGGAGGGGCTGGGGCTGCTAGTCCAACCCACGGACTGGCAGAACATGGGCTGGGCTGTGGTCGGGGTGGGAGGCAAGGCACAGCCGCTTAGTTCGCAGAGCTCCCACCGCCAATCCCAACGGTGACTTTGCCAGTGGCAGTCCCTACCATCCCTCGCACCAGAGCTAAGCAGGGCCCCTGACACACACTGCCAGCCCTGCCGGGGAGCCATGCACAGCCCCAGCCGACACTGCAGCTCTGCAAACCGACCGCCCTCGCTCCAGAGGGGACAGGCCATGCAGGGAGCCGGGACAATGCCAGGTGAAATGACCCAGCCAGGAGCAGCGGGAGGCATACAGAGCCAGGGGCCCGGGGGGTGGGGAGGAGGAGATGGAGGGAGAGGTTAACGTGCTTTTCACGCCCCACAGTCACAGTCCAACAGTGAAACGCACGTGGGAGCGAGAGCCGTAGGCTTTGCCAGCACCACATGGGGGAGAGGAGCCGAGCATGGTGCCCGTTTTGCTGCCTCTTAATCTCTGCCAAACGCACAGCACTGCCCAGGCACAACAGGATCGAAAACAAAGCAAATTCAAACAGAGCTGCCACACGCACACGCCCCCACCCGCCCCAAAGTCTGCAAGCAGGCAAGGATAGTGATAGGGGGGCGGGGGGGGGCTGATTGCTCACCTCAGCGTTTGGTCTATAGGCCCAAAAGGAAACAACCCCCTGATTTCAAGGCTGCTCTCTGCTCCATTTAGTCTCTTTTCCTTCGGGAAGGCAGAATTGCACAATTATCCTAAGCCTCGAACTAATAAAAATAAAAAACAACAGCGACCTCGCCCCTCGCTGAACTCTTTACATCTCTTTGGCAACAATAACTTACAGCACATTGGAGTTAGTTCAGTCGACGGCAGGTTTGTTCAGTTTTACAAAAATAGTACAGATGGCAGTTCCTCCGCTTAGCTATACACCTGACGCCTCCCAGCAGCACCCGGCTACCAGCTCTCCGGACACGCACCAGCTGCTGGGATGCCTGGCAGTCTGGCACAAAACCGCCCCTGAAGGCCTTGCCCGTTGGTGCCAGGCAATATGCTGCCAGCCCCATTACCAAGGAGAGCACTGGGCTCCCACTCCCTGGCCTCGCCCTCCACTGCACAGGGTGCGATGCCAAGAGGGCTCCACTTACAGGTGCGATAGGAGCGTGGGCATATGGGGAAAACACAAACACCTTAGGGTATGGCTCTCCCTCAGGGATGAAACATGGCCAGATAATAATACTTAGCACTTACCAGAGCACTTGCTAGGCACGAAGGCTGCCATCCTCACATCACCTCTTGCAAGGCAGGACAAGCAAGTATTATTATCCCCATTTTACAGATGGGGAAACTGAGGCAGGGAGGCTCAGTGACTTACCTAAGGCCACAGAGGCGTCAAGGGAGTACGTGTCCAAGCTGGGAATGCCTGGCTCCCAGCCCAGCCCTGCCCTTGGCCTGTACTATTCTACTCAGCTATAATTCTGGGGCAGGCAGGTGCCGCACCTGGGCTCTAGTGACACTAGAAGAATGGCAGGGACCCACACAGGGAGGACACAGCTGGGAGAAAAGCAGGTGGGGGGAACACGCCAGCCTACAGCAGGGAGCTGGGAGGACAGGGCAATACAAACTGCTCTTACTGAGTTGCTCCCAGCTCCTAGGGGACTCTTACCAGATGCCCTGCGGGGGAGCCGGAGATCGGAGGCAAAGGGCAAGCGCTGTTAGCAAGAGCGTTCTGGAAAAGTAAATCACAGAGAAATAAATGCCAAGAGTTTCCTCTAATCACCAGTGCTCAGCCTAGGGCCTGGGCGTTTGGACTCCACCCAGGCCGTCTCCCCTGCTTTGCCACAGCTCTTTCCCAAGCCAAGGCACAGGGCCTATCTGTGCTAGGACGGTGCTGCCACTGCCGTAGCTACCGCTCCTTCCTGACTTCGGCAACAACATCAAGCTCTGCTGTAACCGTCCTGAGCCCTCCTCTCCCAACAGCTCCAGAAGCAGGAGGCAGAACAGTGCTTACTGGAGATTACAAACACCCAGCAGGAAGGAGGAAGCCCATAACCAAAGACGGGCATGGGTGGAACGCCCCACCCATCTGACGTGAAAGCGCAGGAATGCCAAGCTCCTTACACGTCGGGCAGCCCGGAGAGCACAGGTGAGTCTGTGACAGGTGTGTCCGAGAGGTGAGTCTGACTCTTCTCAGGAAGCCGGGGGAGAGGGGGGCAAGAAGCCACGAGGTGTGAGCTGCTGGGTCGCAAAATGGCCAAGGTGGAGACTCAGTGATGTTAGCAAGGTCACAGCGCTACCCTTTAAATGCTATAATTTATATATGTATATTTATACACGCACGCACCCACCCACCCACCCACGCACACGCACGGTCATCACCAACCGCCTCGCTGCAGCGCCACCGGGAGCGATTCCGGCTAGCAGCAAACAAAATCCTTCCGATAAAATCTGCCTAGAAAAATAGTGCAAGGTCCCAGAAGCCCGGGTGCTGCGCCCGGCTCCCGTCCTTCAACCTCTCTCCTTGGCCCTGAGGCCGACACCGACACCAGGAGACGTCCAAGCAACCATGTGGGCAGGCTCATTCTCTGTCACCGTCTTCACTGCTGCCTGGAACAGAGACAGAACAGGCGGAGTTCTCAGAACTCTAGGAGCCAGCCCACAGGAATGGACATGTCACCTCGACAGACCCATCCCACCCTAGCTGGTAGGGCTGCCGGCCTACACTGAGTACAACGCGGAGGGGCCAAGTCCACCACTCCCAGCCAACAAGGGGAAGCTCCTTTGTGTGGTATGGGGCACTGACATGGCCCTGATGTCACAGCTCCCAAGCGCAGCTGACCAGCTCATGTAGACAAGCAGGAGAGCGGGGCAGCAGGCAGCCTGCACAAGGGCCCCCCAGACACAGTAAGAACTAACAGTACTTAGTACTGGTGAGTTCAGACATCAGCTCACTGAGCAACGCACCACGGTGGGCACACCCATCTCACACATGGGGAAACCGAGGCACGGGGGGTGCAGTGACTTACCCAAGGTCACTCAGCAAGTCAGTGACAGAGATGACTGTAGAACCCAGGAGTCCTGGCTCCTAGTTCTGTGTATTCCCTCCCTAAGCCTGCAGTATGTCTACGGGCAACGAGCTGCCTGATCTGGTGTATGGGGGCCCCTAGGGGAGAGGGACTTGCCAGTATCAGAGTTTGAGTGAACCTCAGGAGTTCATGGCTCCCATTCTGGGTCCAAACCACCCCACTTTGCTTCCTATAATGGATCCCAAGGCAATCAGATGGGTCCCGGGCTCCAGGCAGACCCAGCCACGCACGGCATGCTAGCCAGGACAGCTCAAAGAGAGATGGCGCCAAGTCTCATCACTCCCAGCTCCCTATTGGGCTGAGCACCGAGCCCTAGCCCTCACCTCCGACGGACTCCATGTCCGCGTCGGAGACGTGTGTGATGGAGAACCTGGACACCGGCGCAGGAGACACGGTGAACCGGGAGAACGGGATCGGCAGCACCTGCTTCTGGACTGGGACCAGCGAGGGAAGGCTGGGGATGGCCGAGACTGGCATCACCGGCGTCACCGTCAGTGAGGACATTAACGATGACTTCACGGGCATGAGCGGAAAGTCGTCATCCCACTCGAATCCACCACCTGGAGCAGACAACGACCACAGTGACACATCAGGGAGCAGGCCCATTGCTGCTGTGCCCACGGCCCAGTCCTGCCGCCCCTCGGCCGGGCCTACCACTACCGCACCCGCTGCCCCCTCAGCCTGCCCCCGCCTCGGCCAGGCCTATCGCTACAGTGTCCAACGCCCCCTCAGCCTGCCCCGCCCTCGGCCGGGCCTATCGCTACCTCGCCCGCCGCCCCCTCAGCCTGCCCCCCTGGCCAGACCTACCGCTACCGCGCCGCCGCCCCCTCAGCCTGCCCCCTCATCGGCCAGACCTACCACTACCGTGTCCGCCGCCCCCTCAGCCTGCCCCGCCCTCGGCCGAGCCTATCGCTACCGCACCCGCCGCCCCCTCAGCCTGCCCCCGCCTCGGCCAGACCTACCGCTACCGCGCCTGCCCACTGTCCCCCTCAGCCTGCCCCCCGCTTGGCTGGGCTCATCATTACCGCTGTGCCCACTCCCTCTCTCAGCCTGTGGACTCTCAATTCGAGCTCCAGCTTTGCACAGAGCGCCCACTGTAGTCCATGTGGATTCACCTCCAGATTCTCTGGGGCCTTGTGCTAGTGCTACCTGATGCCCGCTATGCCCAGGGGAATCAGGCCTGGAGGGGGAGCCTGGAGGTGGTGGGACAGGTGCCCATGGCCAGCGCCACTGGCAGTTATACAGCCGAGTCCCTCCCCAGCTGCGGGCGCCCCGCCCACCACAAGCCCTCACTCTCTTCAGAGGCATTGCCGTCCGAGGAGTCGTCCGATGCGCTCAGTCTGTCCACCGGGCTTGTGGGGCTGGTGCTGTTGCTCTGCCCGGGCTGCAGCGAAGGCGCCGTGACCTCTGGGAACGTCTGGTCGCTGAGCTCCCGAGTGGGACTTTCCTGGACATTAAAAGACACCTTGGAAAATCACCCCATAAAGACACATGCCCGAGAGCCAGGCAGTGATGACACGGCCATCCCAGTTACTCCAATCTGTGCCCTCAGGGGCCTGGCACCCACCGACTGGGAAATGGATGGAGGCCCCATGTCACAAAGGCCTCCCCAGTCTCCCCAGCTCAACTGGGCTGGGATGTGGAGGAAGCTGGGGACAGATGGTGCCCGTCTGCTGCCCTCCTGGGCTCACAGCACGGGAAGGCAGCGACTAGGCCCCAGGGCTGCTCACCTGGTCAAAGAGGTAGACGGTGACGTCGTCGTAGAAGGACACGGCCTTCTTCTTCCGCTCCAGGTCCTCGCAGAAGGTCTGGGACAGCAGGTTGGGCATCTTGAGTAGGCTGCGCAGGTTCCTGGCGCTGTGGCTCTCAGCCACCACGATGGGCACGGCGGCTGGCTCGTCCTCGCTCTCCTCACTCTGCTCCTGGATGTTGTAGCAGCGCAGCTCCTCGTCCGACTCGTCGCTGTCCTCGGTGTCCTCCTCCTCGTCCTCGGGCTCCTCCCGCCGCTCGGGGCCGGGTGGCCGCAGCTCCGCCTGGGCCTGCCGCAGGGAGAGATTCAGGGACAACTGCCGGCCCTGAGCTAGTGACAGCTCTTCTGCCAGGGCCCTGCCAGGACCCTCCTGCGCTTCCCCTTCTGGGGCCACTCGCACCCCTGGCTCCTCTAATGGGTGCTCCGGCCCCTCAGGCTCGGAGCTAGGAGCTACAGCCTCACCCAGCAGGCCTGAGAGCCCTTCCTGCCGGAGTTCTTCTCCACCAGCTTTGGCCAGGACCAACAGGGCTGGGCCCTCCGGGCTCGTTACCACGGGAGACAGGAAGAAGGACTTGGATGGCACCGACTCTGCTGGGATGCTGGGGATGGCAGGGCACTCGTCCCAGGTCGTATCTCTGGAGCCGTCCGAGTCTGGACTGTGGCCTGCAGCTGTCTCCTCAGCCCTGGCGGCACCTTCCAGCTCCAGCTCCGGCTCTGGGTGGGCAGCCTGGGCGCTCCCTTCCCCGGGACTCACCACTTCACCTGCTATTGAGAAGCCTACACCAGAAGCTCCAGTCCCCATGGTGCAAGCAGCTCCCTGAGGGCTGTCAGGGGTGTCGCGGGGCTGGGGCGGCTCCTCCCCATCACTCTTTTGGCTCGGGGCACTTCCCAGGTCTTGCGCATCCAGCGGCAAGCACCCCGCCTCCCTGTCCTGGGCTTCAGACCCATCACTGTCTTCATCCTCCTTGAGGTACCTCTCGGCGTCGGTGTCGTAGTCTGAGAAGTAGGCTGAGTCGCGGTACGGGTTCTTCTCACTCAGGGCGTGAAGCTCAGCGCTGAAGGATGAGGAGAGGTGCATCTCTGAGGCCACGCCGTCCCCTTCGCCCACCGCCAGACCTACGGGCGACTTCCCCAGGTGGGTGAAAGTCTCTGGCTCCCTGGGCTCATGCGGCTCCTTTAGGACAAACTCCGGGGACTCATAGTTCTCGGTGTCATAGCCGCTGTCCAGGGCCTTGGGCTGGCTGGAGGGGACGTAGCTGGTGGGGCTGAAGACTTCGCACGAGCTGGCTGTAGATGGGATGTCGAGGGATTCCAGGGAGTCCGGCGTCCCCACCTGCTTCTGGAGAGACTTGAAGGATGGGATCACGTCCACTCGTTCCACGTAGTCTCCGGAGAAGTCGGTGAAGACACCAGACGTGAGCTCCGCGGTATCTTCATCGCTGCAGTCATCCATGTCAGGGAAGCTGGTGCTGGAGAAGGTCTTGTCTGGGGTCCGGTCCAGGTCACTTGTGATGCTCTTCCCACTCTCCACTGCAATGTCTCCGGGCACTTGGCCAGCTACCTCAGAGGCCTCTGAAGGGATCTGGGTGCAGTCTGCACAAGGGTTGCCCTCTGTGTGGGCATACGGGACAGCCCACTCCCCAGGACTTAGCGGGAGGGCTGCCCCCTCAGCCGGCATGGTGGTGCTCTCAGATAGCTGGCAAGCTGCCCCTGCCTCGGCATGTCCCATATCAACAGGGCCTGGTGGATCCATACCCCTTGGCTGTGGCATTTGGGCATGGTGAGTCCCCTCCCCTCTCTCGGCTTGTCTTGATGCTGTGCTGGCATCATCCAGGCACATCTGGGCTGAAGCTCCGACCGAGGAGTCTGTAGGGAGTGCTGCACCGGAGGCACGTCGTGAACTGGAAACGCCTGCCAGCGCGGTGTCTTCCAAAAGGTCGAAAGCGGATGAGTCATGGCTCTCCCAGTGGGGGGAGGAGGAGGAGGAAGAGGAGGAGGAAGAGGAAGAGTCCTCTTTGTTGCTCAGGGTCCTGCGCTGCCCGGGACCCAAGCAGAAGCTATGGTTCTCAGTGAGGGGCTGCTGGTCCTGCAGCGCTAGCCGCAAGTCCTTGACCAACGGGCTCCTCCTCGCCTGCAAGGCGTCCCTGAGCTGGGCCTCGTCGCGTGGCACGGAGTCCAGGGGCTCGGCCATGAGTCCCCGGAAGGTGATCATGTGGCGGTAACACCAGCTGTCGTTGGCAGGGGGCTCGCAGGGTGGAGGAGGGCAGTTGCTGCTGTTGTTGTTGGCCGAGCTGTTGGACGTCCAGTGCTGCCTCTGCACCGCTGTGCTCACATCCTCCGGGACCAGCCCGCTCGCGCGCTCTCTGCTCCCGCACTGGGGGCTGCCGCACGGGCTCTCCTCGCCCAGCTCCAAGGTGATGCAGTCCAGCCTGGAGCCCTGAGGCCTGATGGCCACCTTCTGCCCCACACACTCCAGCAGCCTCCCTGCCAAGGGGGCTGGGTGGGGCTCCTCATAGCTGGGGGGGCCGTAGGCACAGTTCACTGATGGGGAGATGCCCAGAGGGTCCTCAAAGATGTTCTTCTGGAAGCTGGGGACCTGCCACTCCTTGCTGCTGGCCTCCAAGGGCTCCTCCTCCAGCAGGTAGTGGTCGGCGCCATCGCCTGGGGACGGTTGGTAGTACGGAGGCTCGTTGCTGTGGCACTGGTAGGGGTAGTAATCGGGATGCTCCCAAGAGCCCTCGCTGAGCGTGGCGTGGCCCAGCAGGGGTTCCATGGTCAGGGAGACAGTGGGGCTGTTATCTGAGTCATATGTGCCACTGTCCTGGCCCCCCTTGGCTTGCCAGCGGGACCCCTTGGCCGGGGAGCCGTACTCACAGTCGGGGCTGTAGGAGCACACGGCGTAGTCCAGCTCGGTGCGACCCTCCGAGGGCCCTTCGATGCGGATGTAGTACTCACTGCTGAGCGAGGGGCTGTGGGCCCCCAGGATGGGCACCACGCTGGGCGCGTGCAGGCTTGGGCAGCCCTGCTGCTTGCACTCATAGCAGGACGGCGAGACGCCGAGGCTCAGCCGCCCCGTGGAGCCGGTGGGATAGTACAAGTCCTGGTACTGGGCGGCACTGCTGGGGCTCAGGGCCCCCGTGGGTACCTGGAAGCACTCAGCCTTGCTGGGCTCCCATTTGTACTCGAAGTTGAGGCCCTGGCTGGTCTCCATGACAGTCAGGACGTCGTCCCCATCTGAGTGGAAGCCTTCGGCAGAGAACTGCTCCAGCAGCGGGAAGGAGGAGACCTCGGTGCCGCGGTGGCTGCTGCTGGAGCTGCTGTTGGGCTTCATGGAGTTCCAGCGCCTCTCAAACTCCTCCTCTGCCTCCGTCGCCCCCTTGGCACACAGGTAGGAGAGAAGCAGGTGCACCTCTTCCGCCGTCGGCCTCTGCTCGGGCTGCAGCCAGCAGAACTGCATTACCTCGTACCTGCGACACAGAAGGACACTGGAGTCCGTCCCTGCACAGCGCCCCCACCTGCCTGCAGCCGCTCCGGCAGGAGCCTGTGGCTTGCACGCTCCTCAGCCCCCGTCTCCCTGCCAGCCCCAGCCAGAAGGCGACCTTCCACCAGCCGGTGAGAGGGCGGCTGGGCATGGGCACACGCCCACCTTTCGCCTGCACATGGCGCCGCCATGCGCGTTCTGACTCACTGTTCAGCAGGACTGCCCCCGCTCGGCAGATGGCACCGGGCCCCTCAACGCACCCCTGCCCGGAGCCAGCCCAGGAGAGAGGAACCGGAGGAGAGGAAGGGAGGATGCACAAATAGGAGAGCGTTCGGCAAGCACATTGTTAACGCAGTGGTCCGAGGCCTGAGGCAGGCGGAAATCTGCCACCCTCCGGCAACACCTGGCAACCCCACCCCAGTGCCCGCGGCATGCTCCTCACCAGCGCTCAGACAGCAACAGCTTCAGCTGGGGCTTGGGCAATTTGAGCTGCTGCTCCTTGATGGCGTAGGTGAGCACCTGCCGGTCGGAGTAGCGGTAGTAGGGCTGGTTGCCCAGCTCAAACAGCTCCCAGATCGTCACGCCCAGAGACCTGCAGAGACAGGGACCAGTGTGGCTAGGTCTACACTGCCCGCCTGAATCGGCGGGTAGAAATCGATCTCTCGGGGATCGAGAGACGTGACAATTGATCCCCGAATCGACGCTCTTACTCCACCAGCGGAGGTGGGAGTAAGCGCCGTCGACGGGGAGCCGCGGAGGTCGATTTTGCCGCCGTCCTCGCAGCGGGGGAAGTCGGCTCCGATAGGTCGAATTCAGCTACGCTATTCGCGTAGCTGAATTTGCGTATCTTAAATCGACCCCCGCCCCGTAGTGAAGACCTGCCCTGTGTGTCGTTGCAGCACGGCGGGGGGGGACAACCAACAGCAGAGAGAAAAGGAAAGGGAGGGACGTGCCCCACCCGGCCCTACTGACCTGGGCAAGACAGGCAGCTGCAGGCTCAGGCCTCTGGGTTACACATGGGCAGAGCCGCCTGGAGATGGAGGAGAGAGGCCAGCTCCCCACCTGGCGTGAATGGGCCCCGTTCCACGGGAGTCCATAGGCCAGATCCACCCTGGTGTGAACAGGCCCCGCTCCACTGGGCTTATGCCTGTTCACACAGCTGGGGATCCAGCCCTGGACTCTCAGATTTTAAGGGCAGGTGGCGGCAGTCAGATGACCCGTGCTGACCTCCTCTGGAGCCCTGGCCTCGGAGCCTCCCCAGCCACTCCGCCCCCGATGCCCATCCTGCCAGGGGCTCAGGCCATGCACAGGCTCTCCAGGAGCGGAGGCCCATCCCCTGCTGGGTCCATGTGGGAGTGGCAGCCCTGCCCTGTCCCCCACCCCACACCCCAAGGGCTCAGGGCCGCCTGCCAGACCACGAGGCACTGACACATCCTGAGCAGGGACACAGGCCCGACTCACACCCGCGTGCTGGCTGAGGGCAGGACCTGAGTCACTCGCACACAGCCGGGGGCTGGGGGAGGGCAGGGACTGCTGGCAGCCGGGCATGTGCCCCGCCTGGGCCCTGCGCTCACCAGACGTTGCTGGATTTGGTCTGATCCACTATGAGCAGGTTGCCATGCACCTCGTCGATGAGCTCGGGCGCGATCCAGCGCAGCGGCACCCACAGCTGGTCGGCCGTCACGAAGTAGTCATCCTGCCAAGCATGCGGGGTCAGCGCGAGAAGAGAACGTCAACCTACGCGTAAGGGACCGGCACGCCTGGGTGTGACAGCAGCACCCCCTCTTCCCCTCCCCCCAGCCCCTGCTCGCCCCGGGCCCCTTCTTTCCCTCCCCCCAGCCCCCTGCTGCCCCGGGCCCCTCTTTCCCCCCATCCTCTCCCCCGCCTGAGCCCCCTGCCTCCCCATTCCCTCTCCACTTCTCCCCCTTCCCCCAATCCAGCTCCTCTTCCCCCAGTTCATCTCCTCCCCAGCTCCTCTTTCTCCATTTCCCCTGCCCCACTCTCCTAGCTACTGCCTCTCCTCCCCACCCCCTTCCCACTCCTCCTCTGCCACCTCTCACCCCCCAATCTCCAGCCCTGTCCACTGCCTCTCCTTCAACCCCCATCTTCCCACCTCTCCTCCTCCCCCATCCTCTGGCCCGCCCACCACATCCTCCTGCCACTGCCCCCTCCCCGGCCTGGCCCTCTGCTGCCCCCCATCCCCCGCTGCCCC